TCTTTCCACATTTTTCCGCCAACCTCCTCTCAACCCCCTTCACCTTCCATCGATGCGATGCTTTCGCTCTTTTGCTTTCCCTTTCGTGTGTTTCCTATTTGCTGACTGTCTAATTTTTACTTGTGGTTCTTCTTCCAGTTATATCAGTCATTGTTCTTTGTTTCAAAAGTATTTTTTTCTTTTGATCCATTTTTTTTTTTACTTTTTTTCTTTTTGATAAATTCAACCGTTTCTATATCTTTTTCTTAAATAATCTAAAAATTAAAAAAAAAACATTTAAAAAATATTTATAGATTATAAATTTCGTTTATAAAATTTTTTTTTAAATACTTTGCATAAAAATACTTTAAATATTAACATTTGATTGTAATCATAGCTAAATACAAATTTAACAAATGATAATAAACACTTACAGAAATTTCAGAAATTCATAGAATTCTATATTTAAAAAAATAGACTATTCAATAGTCAAATAAAAAATCGTAGTTCTGTTTATTCATGTTCATAACCTCAATCACATAATTAAGACTGGAACAATAGTATTATACTTTCTTCATTGTTTAACTTCCTCTCTTACCTAGGAATTTTAATTTTAATATTCTGAATGTAATAAATTTCCACTTAAGCACATACGAACTTAACTTTAGTATTTTTTCATATTTTTATACTTTCATCAAACTGTTCGATTATTGATATGAATCTTATATGAAAAATTTACATATTTATATAAATATGATTTTAATTTAACTTAATATTAATTTAATTAATATAATATAATTTAACTAATATAGGCATGGGAAATATAATACGATATAAATTTAGATAATCTTCACATATACGTCCATAAATATATTCTTGTATTTAAAAATTTACTTCAGTTATTTTCGTATAAATTGTTACATGTGTGGAACATGAAAATATATTGAAATACTAAATGCTATTCGTTTTAGTTACGTCAAATACGAAGTAGACGAGAAACAAATTTCTCATGTACTATTTTTCTTCTTTCGACAGGTTTGAAGATTAAAGACGGTTTTATGAGAGTCACTTGTTTCAGACTTTTCTAATTTAGACAAAATTAATACTTGTTTGTGAAAATTTTAATCTTTTTTAGAACACATTTTTTCATATATTCTTATTAATATTAACATTTAACGTAAAAAACTTTTATTATTTTAATTAAAATTACTATAAATTTATTATTTTAATAATATTTTTTATTTTTTGAAAACAAAACCAAAAATTATCAATTTCCAACGCATGTGATACGTTATTTAAATATTAAAAAAATTCTAACCTAAATCTAACGGTATTTTACTATTACCAGTTTATACCAGTCAAATAAAACAATCGATTTTTAACCTAACACCATTTTCACAGAATCACTTTATAATCTTCTTTATCAAGAAATCCATTATGTATCACTCCAAATCCTCGATGAATGTTACAGACAACTTTAATGCGAGTTTGAAAGCGAAAGTCGTTTTCACCCTACGAAAAATCAACGATCTTTCCCTTTTCTACTCTCTGTTTCTCCGAATAACACGCTGTTGGAAAAGTGAAAAATTGCTGAAACTTATTAAACGGAAAAGTTTGCCATAGTGAAACGAAGACGGAACTAAGAGAAGGTGTGATATATGTATGTGCGGCCATTGGGCAAGAAAGTTTTGACGAGCGACCGACTGCTGCCTGCGTTATTATTGCCGATAAATTATCCTGGCTTTGCAGTAACCAGAGGGGCCAACACTGATCTGGGTGTAAAGTTCGCCAGTGCGCATGCGCATGCAAGTTGCCTCGAATTATGTCGATCCGCTCGATTTACGAGTTACGTGCCGCTTGGATCTTTTCTCACTGTACCATTATTGGCTGAAAAATTCATCGACGATTATTCCAAGATAATCGTGGGAAAATTAATGGTATGGTTTGAATACAAACCATTCTGCTTTTTTTTCATTGGTTGTGAAACAGAAAAAAATTCGTAAGAGAGGTTAGTTTCGATAAAATTTGTGATTATATTAATCATCACAGACAGTCTGTATAAAAATATAGAATATTTTTATTATTTTTCTTTGTGTATTAAAATATGAAATATTAATGAATTTATAATTTTTTATTATTATTTTATACATTGAAATGTAAAATGTTAATAAATCTAAAGTTCTAAGAGAATATAATATAAATATGAATGTATAGGTTAAAATTAGATTATATATTAGGGATTAATATATTTATAAAAATATTCAAACTTTTAAAAAAAATATATATATAAATTCCATAATGAAGTTCAAAATTCCATTATAGAATTGCGATTATTGATTATCGATATTTTATCGATAATATTTTTGATAGTTTTCAATATATCGATTGTTAAAATATTAACGAATAGAACTAACTAAAGTTTTTATTGAAAGTTATTATTAAGATTTAAAAATGTTATTTGTAATAAGTTTCAATAAAAATATTGAAAAATTATATTGTAATTTATTTAAGCTGTTTTTATTCGCGTTGATATTTTAAAGATATTTTGAATATGTGAAAAAATTAATGAAATATTTATATATACCTAATCATTGAACAATATTTTTAATAATAGATTAATACGAAAAAATAGGAACTCAAATTACTTTTATTTATTATTGATATATATATATTATCGATATATCGAATTATCAATAATATATCAATATTGCATTTAATATTGTATAACGATATTGTATATCGATAAATATCGATAATCAGAACTTTAATATGGAATATTATTTCTGAAATTTCTAACAAACTCCTAAAATTTCTAACAATTAATCACTGAATAAATGATTTAAGTTATAAATATTTATTAATCCTAAAAATAATCCAATTATTTCAATACAAAATATTTAAATACAATTTCCATTCGATTTCGCTAAAACGATTTCATCGAATTTTCAAACAAACGACAACCTTCCCTTTTTACTTTCCCCCTCTCATCTACCTTCTTCCTTTTCGTCTCTTCTTCCTGAGCGCGGATAATTCGAAGCGATAAGCCCCTCGTCGATGAGAGGGTTTATCGTCAGAGGGGCCTGTCGTCGTCGACAGTCTCTAGCTGAGATTCAAAGACAAAGAAGGAAAAAGAGGAGTAGAATGAAAGAGAGAAGTAGAATTCGCATGGTTGCGTAAGTAAAGCAGCAACTCGAAAGAGGAGGATCGTGAGCTTTAAGCCGACTGCTCGTAAATCGCGCTCGTCCGTGTCCTCGACGATTGGCTCGCGCAATCGATCCGAAAACGAGGAGAAGTTTCTGCAGAAGGTTCCTCGAGAGTAACATCAGCTGTATGTTGGAAATGCGTGAAGGAAGTCGGAAGGAAGGAGGCGATTAGGATAAATATGGCGATTCGTTTATCGCTGATAAAGGATAAAGGTATGTTGAATGCTATTACAATTTGATTTTTATTCTTTTTAGTCTTTTTATTTTAAAAATTTGAAAATTTCTACATTTTTCATTTTTTATTTTAAAATCTCTAAATTTTTTACTTTTAACTTTTTAAAAATTTCAAACCTCAAAGCAAAAATATAAATTTTGAAGTTCAAATTTTCATTTTTAATTTCAAAATTCCAAATTGTAAAGCTTTTTAATAGAAATTGAAAATATTTAATGTTTCTAAAAAAAAAGTTTAAGAAAATAAACAATAAATAAATGCAATTAAATTTAAAATTAATAAAAAATTATATGCATTTCATAATTTTTAAACAAAAATCACAAAATTTTCTTGTAATGACTTCTTGTAATGACAATAATTAATTAAAAAGAGAAATAAAAAATATATTTATATGTATATATATTTGATTAAATTTTATTAATATCTCAATAATTATATTTATTTGAGTTTCAAAAAAAAATTCACAGATTAAAAGATAAAATAAAATTTCATATAATTTAAATAATATAATATTCGTTAATGGATTTTTAAACGTATTCTATTGCAATAAATATTATTTCTATCAGAGTTGCAAAACATAAAAATCAATAGATTATGGACTTTTTTCAATCTGAAATTATTTACATTTTTAATAATGTTCAAGTTTGAACATAATAGTATTGGTTTTGGTTTCTTATAAATGATATATTAATCTTTAAATAATTATAAAATTTTTATTACAGAAATCTCTATAATATATAATATATAAAAATTTAAATAGCAAGTTTCTTGATTTTTAAGAGAAAAAAATTATGTTTCAAGAAATTAATCAATCATTCTATTTTGATGTTCTCTATCTTGATGTAATTCAGTAAATATATTTATTTTAAAATATGATTAATTTTATAAATAAATTTTCATAATCTTCTACAATGTTATTATTATCACATTAAATTAAAAAGAAAGAAATTTCTACCAAATATTTCCAAAAACCAAAAAAAGAATTTCATCTCAAATTAAAAACTAAAAAAAAAAAAAAGACTTCCATAAAAGATTATTTATTTTTCACACTGAAGAATGAAAACTATTAAAAATTCTTCAAAAAAAATCACTTTGCCTCGATTCAAACAAAAGAAAATCTTCTCGAAGTTATCTTATTAATTTAAATTAGCAAAAAAAAAAAATTAGAACATTGATGAAACGTTTTCAATTTTCCAGGACATATCTTATCACAAATAGCAAGATTCATGGAAAACAATTTTCCAGAGAAACAGTTTCCCGAGAATCAGGAGATTCTCGAGGTCGTTTCTCGATTCGCCAGGAGCAAGTTTCTCTGCATCAAGGTCCATTCTTCGTAGCGAACACGTTTTTTGTCTGGCCACCCGTCGTCCCTGCACACTAGCCAGGATACGACGCGTCTGAAACGCGAGTGATTCAAGCTTGAATCCAGCGCGCCGCATCGATCATCATCATCATGCTCGAATAACATCTATGCCTTCCTACGGCTGTAACCGTGCAATACCAATTTGTCGTCGAGTCAATTTAGCTGGAACGGTATTTTTCGAATGGACTGATCGAAAGTTTTTTTCTTTCTCTTTTTTTCTTTCTTTGTTTCAAGGAAGAAAAGAATTTCTGAGTTGAAAATAAAAATATATAGGAAATTGATTTGACCAATAGTTAGTTTCAGTAAATTGGTAGAAAATAAGCATATAGAGTGTATCGCTATGAGGTATTTCCAATAATCTGAAAAAAAAATGTTTGAAATAAAAATTTTTCGTCGGTTATTATAAATTGTAGTAAAAAGAAAAAGTATTTTTTTTGAAAATGATTGTTTTTAATAAATCATTTTCATTCTTATCGTAACTTTTTTAAAGTGACACTGTATATTTTTTGATTTCATAATATTGTAGTCGATTTATGGAATCTCCTTTGGATTTTTCATTGTTTCTGAAATTGTTGCTTCTTCCCACAACTTTGTTAATTTTAAAATTGACTTCCTAAACATGACCTATATTCTATGTTATAAACAATTCCAATGTTCTCTATCGTATTCTCAACGTTCGGTATCCACAGTATCTAGTTTCATGAGTCCTGTATTACTAGTATCGAGTTTCACGACTCTGAAGATGTGAGTATCGAATTACTTGAGTCCTGAATTGCCAACCTTGAGTATCATGAGCCAAACTGATCTTATTCTACAGATTCAAAATCGTTCTAATATCGAATCCAATGCTGGTTAATTTCTCTCAACATTGACTTTCACAAATTCAAAACCATTACAATTTAAAATAAATAATTCAACTTTCACTTCAGACATTAGTTAAAAGTGTATCCATTTATATCCATCAAATAATAACTGAATCTATCATTTCTTCTTATTGCAGATCAGCGAAAAAAGATGTTAAAGATTACACGTCTAAAGTAAATATCATAAAATCAAATCCATTAATCGTCAGCAGTGTTAAATCATCATTTACCAAATAAAAGAAAAAAAGAAATACCTATAGGGGTTAAACGGCTCCGTAAATTGTGAAAATTGAACGATCGTCGAAACGTTGGAAATTAGAAGACAGTTGAAGGGGCGGGAAGCCTCTGAAGAGCAAGGTGAAGGTAATACCGAAGGACCCTCCTCGTCCTTCGGGAGTGTCTTGGAGCAGAAGACAGCAGGGCACTCTAACGAACTTATCCCGAAGGCTGAGTGCTGCCTCCGGCGAGCCGAAGATATACGAGAATTCCTCTTCACTTCACCAATGTCTATACAGGGTGGAGTATAATTATTGTCATAAAATAACTCGTTTGTTAGAAAAAAAAAGTTAAAAAGAAGAAACAAAATAGATCGTTCTTGATTGACTTACTGTTATCACGTTCATTATTAATGTCATCTTCCGATGTCTTTTCATTGTGATCTATAATAATATCTAAATCTCTAACACAATTGGTTGTGACATCTCTGTCTGGGGAACATGAGCTATATTTTGGCTTTGATTCAGTTTCCATGGTGAAATATATTATTGTATGTTAATATGTTATTATCTTTAGTTGTATCGATAAATATTTCATGTTTAAAACTAACTTGTGCTGAATATTATGAAAGACTAAGAAGTTTGATAGAAGACTCAGCTTGATGATCAATTAGCAATTAAATCCTATGCTTGAACTCAAGTTATTCTCACGCACTACTTCTTAAAAAGTACACTGACAATGAGAAATAAAGGATGAAAGTGGAGGAAGTATCTCATCCTCACTTATTCATTTTCTGCGCAGCATTCAAGATGTGTACTACTACCGTTAGCCTCTATAGTAAGATGTAATGTGATTTTAAATAAAAGCATCAAATAACAAATTGGATTGATACAATGATATCTAGATGCAATGCTTCAAACATTATGTTTCATCTTTATTTATAAGAATTGAGGCAAAATTAAAGTATACTTTACATGATTCTATGTAAAATTATGTATTCAAATTTGCGAATACACCGACTATCGAAGATGTATTCAACGATGAACTGAACTTTACAATCAGGTTATATCATAAATAAAGATTATATCTGTATATATATATATATATATACTATATATTATAACTGTACATTCCACTATCTAATATGATAGATATGAACTCGTCAAAGGTCTCTTGATAATACGTTACTCTCTATAATATCATTCTCAATGAGATATCGTTTAGAAAAAAAAATATTCTTTCTTCATCCACACACACATAGATCAAGTATCTAGAATAAAATAATAATTATTAATAGACAACGCGACTTTCAAGTTCCTTACAGACAGATATAAAACAGATATTAAATGACTTTCCTCTCGTTTTGCAGAACCAGTTTATATTTTACTTTTCTCAGTCTCTTTTCTTTTCGAAACATATTAAAATAAAACTGAATAGTATCTTTTATAGCACAAGGAAGAATATCGTATTCTTTTTTTTTTTTTTTTTTTATTTTTAGAATGCACAGAATCTCATTTATATTACACTTGCTCATCTACAGCATCTTATTTTCGCATAATAAATATGATATATTGTTGTTCCTATTATTATTACCATTGTTTCCTATTGTTATTATAACTCTCATTATCATTATCCTTACTATCATTAATATTATTAGCATATCTTGAAGAAAAATTTTTTTAGCAAAAGTGTGAGTAAAAATATATAGGTGTTACACATAACCAGGCCTTATTATTATACATAAAAAAAATTTTAAACAACCTCCTTAACATGTAAAATTAGATATTTAACATTTAGTTCCATAACATTATGCAGAATATTAACATATTATTTTTCATTTTTATTATTACATTTACATCTTATTAAACATTCTTTATTTTGTTATTTATTATTTTCTATTATCTTTCTTCTCGTACATACGTTTTTTTATATTACCATAAAATTTATTTCTTTATAAAATAGATAAAAGAAGAATGTAAATTTTTTTGTCACCCTGTGTATATCACTGTGTAGCATTCACACGAAATAACGCGTGCGCGGAAGCGTGGCGTGGTAGAAAACGAAGAAAAAGCGGAAGGGTGATGGAAAACTCACTTTCCACCACGGTCCGTCCAACCCTTCGGCCACGCGTGTCTCTGCCCCCCCTTCTTCCTCTCCCCTTTCGGTTTAGAAGCAGCCGAAACACGGAGAGCTGAACAAAAACCAGGTCCCAAGAGTGAGAATATAGGAAACAAGGTGAATTTCTGAAAATCGATATCGGCTATACGAATAATGCAGAAGATAAACACGTTATATCTATGAAACTCGATTTACCTTCATCGAAAAAAATTTGTTCTTCGAATATTTTTCTTCACCCTTTTTTTTTTCTTTTTTAATTTTCGCTCAACGATACATAACGCGTCATACAGAAAATTTAAAAAATTGGAAAAACAATTAAATTTTCTAATTATCGGTATTTATTATTGGGAAAGAATAATAAGATAAATAATTTTTCGACTATTCGTATACGATGAATCGTAACAGAATCGGGAAAAAGGAATGGATGCCACATTTGATTTGATATTGTGAGGAAGGAAGGAGCGGAAAAGCGATTTTTCCTTCGACAAAGGAAAAATGGATCGATTGGAGAGAATATGGGAGGCGAAGAAATGATAACAACCTTTCAACACGTATTAAGGCATTTTGCGGTTATGAATCGTTTTCTGACCACAAGAAACGTCGTATCCATCACGCAACTAGGATTAATACAGTAAGTTGCATATGTCGACAAGGGGATAATTGCGGTCGATATATTTTTCCCCGGCGAACGACTTTCCGTTTCATCGCTTTTAATCTATTAGTTACCACAGTTATGTAACCCGCGTATTTATTATTAATGTTTACACTTTAATATATTATAAATATTATTTGTAAATAATACGAATATATTAACATTAGCTTTGTAATACTTGTAATAAGTTTTTTACAAGAGTAAATTTTATATTAGATTTATATTATTTATATATAATTATAATATTACTTATTTACACAGATTATTCGAATGGTGTTGATAGAAAATTTAAAGAATAATAATTGTAAAAAGTAAAACAAATGGTACAAATAATTTAATTTGCCGATTAAATAAAATCTAGTATGAAATTTAATTTAGAATTTGACAAATAAGGATTTTAGATATATTGAATTAATAATATAGACAGTCTTTAGACAAAAATTTAAAAAAATTTTCTTCCAAACACGCTGTACATTATATTAATCTATTCCGTGATCGCTCCGAATAATTTAAACGTTTCTTTAATTTAACAATAATTATAAAATTATCTTGCTTCTAAAAAATATATACTAATAAAATTCCAAAGAATAAAATTCATTCCACAATCATATCTTCAAAAATTGCCAAAATAATTTAATAATTTGAATAAAAATGATTCTTCCAATCAATGCTTCGAATCCCCAGTAATCAAATCCAACCCCCGCTTATTAACGCGGTACGCCCCCCTCCAATTCAAATATTTGACGAAGAAAAAGGTTGCCCGTAATCCGCGGCAAGTTAAAAGGCTATACGTCGGGTGGAGAGGCCATTGGAAAAGTTCGAGGATCATTATCTCCAAAAATCGTGCACCGTTCCTAATAGGGTATTCCGTTCGAGTTTCACATCTCGAGGGGTTGGAAAAGAAGAGAAAGGTGTATAGCCGCGGGGAAGGAATGGGGGCGCGAAAGTGGCACCACACTCGAATCGGTACCCCGATCTTTCTTCGAGAAAACTTCTTACCCCGCCCCTCTCGAGTTTTGCCCGCCGTCCCGATGGTCACAGTTCGGTCGCCACCCTAAAAATTACTTCGAGTAAAAAACGAGCTTCGAACGGGTGAGGGGCAGCTACGAGGGTTCGAGGGCCTCGCGACGATTGGAGGGCACGACCTGTTTCTGGAAAGAGACTTCAAACCGAGCGATCGTAAAATCTTGCGCGACAGACGTCCATTGCGCGATATGAATCATTTTCACATTTTATTTTATTAACGCAGGATATTTCTTTTCTATCGTTCATCGATCTATTGTATTTATTGAAATTGAATTTATACAAATACGAATTATAATCATAATATAATTCAATCTATTTTATTAGAATACGTGTAAAAGTGTCATTTGTTAAACATTGCTATTATTTATTACAGAATAGAACTTTCATAAAAATGGATATATATCCAAGAAACGAATGATTCGTTGACCACATGTATCGCAATACTTTCCTCATTTCTGAGATGTTGAATAGGCTGTATATAAGTTCCGTGACATCCATTCGGATCCACCCTGCAATATAATGCTACGAGTTTTTCGAGGGCGAAATGGGACCATGTGTTTAGAAATAAGAATCGTAGGAATGCGTTTGTGCGCCAGTGTGACTAAATAGCAATTGTGTTGTGCGCGTGTGTGTGTACGTTTCTCGATAAGAAGGGAGGACGGTGAACGACGAGGGGGTGAGCTTTCAATTAGCAAGAAAGAGAAGAATTGTATCTTGTACTGTAGAATCTTCAAGAAAGAAACATTAGATTCTAGAATTCTAGATTCAGATTAATTTTAATAGCCAACTCTTCAAAAATTCTTATTTTAAAAATTACATTCTATTTGTTTTTAAATTAAATTATTTTAATACAATATGTAGAAATTAAATAAATGGAATTAGAGAAACAAGGATAAAAATATTGGATTAAAACAAACAATATATATATATATTATTTATTTATAAAAGTAAATATTATATGTTCAACAATCATTGGAATCATTAAAATTTTCCTTTGAACCGAATCTCGAACAGGATACATAAAGCGACTTGTACGTATATGGTATCTCACGGGTTCTTGTGTTACGTTATACGTACTCACACAGGTACAGTTGATCGCCTATGCTACAAGCATAGGAGTCGTTTCATAAAATTATAAAACTTGTAATACTAGTAGTTTTCTAGTGTGATATCTCCACCAGTTCTATGGATTCCTGTTTCCCGGCTGATAATTTTATTTAGAACAACGAGCACAGGGTTACGATCATCTCCATAAACACCATAACGCCTCCAGATAATTTTACATCACTACATTACACTTCCCTACCACGTTACATAATAAATTTTATATTATATAATTAATTTTCTTTATTCGATGTAATTTTCAAAAAAACAATCTCTTGTAATAATTATTATGCCAATATAAACTCGCCATTTTTGCTCAAAATTAAACAAAATTAAATTCTTCTTTCTTAAACATAACCTATAAAAACATTGTTTCTCAATTTTTATTTGTAATTTAGATTATATTTAATAAAAAGACAAAAGATATATTTCGAATAAAGATAACGATTCTCTATTGATACGATCATTTATGAGAGATTAAGATCATCCTCTTAATGATGATGAAGGATAATATAGTCTGCGGGATTTTCTCATTCAACGCGATGTAATTCTGCGCGCCGAAGACCACACCGAATACTACTCTGTTAATATGCAAGGTGATTAGAGAACAGAGGGAAGATGGAAGAAGCAAGAGAATGACGAGATAACGAATCAAAAATAATGTAATGTGAAAGAAATAAGAAACGTAAATGACGGCTATCTTTTTTTCGAGTAAAAAAAAGAACAAAATTATAATTTAAAAAAATCAATACTCTATGATAACTTATATATAATTCTAAGTTATCAAATAATATTAATAGAAAATATCTTCTTATAATTATTATATATATATATATACATACAATTGTTAATTTTTTTGCAACATTTTATAATTTACATAGTTAATTAGATTATCAAATAGTCTAAACGCTAATCTATCTTATTATT